ATTTATTTATTTGACAGAGAGAGACACAGCGAGAGAGGGAACACAAGAAGGGGGAGTGGGAGAGGGAGAAGCAGGCTTTCCACCAAGCAGGGAGCCCGATGTGGGGCTCGATCCCAGGACCCTGAGATCATGACCTGAGCTGAAGGCAGACGCTTAACGACTGAGCCACCCAGGCGCCCCTATAGCACATGTTTTTTAGTGGGTGCTGGGACTCATTCCGAATTCTTGTGACATTCCTCAGAAAATTAGTATTGATAAAAACCTCTGTGAAGGCACTGCACCTCTGAGCAGAAGAAATCATAGTGCTGCAAAGGCTTGTACCAAGTAACTCTCCCCTCCGGCACAATCCCATCCAATTACTGAATCCCCACTGTCCCTGGATGGTATTCAATTAATATCTGTTGGCTGAAAAACTGAATGAATCTATTGTAAGACCAAAGAGAAGGAAAAGGCAATCAGATCAAAAGACTTCAGCATGCCACAGACTTATCTTTATGATTATCTTTTATTGTGAAAATTAAGAAGCTGATTACATACATAAATACATGAAGAATTAATCCTGGTGCCCTCCTAAGGTATGTGGGTCAGGAGATAAGTGAAGTGTCCAAATGAAAGAGTCGGTATTCCAGAACACATTGGCATTCTCAGTACTTCCTGTGCTTTCAGCCAACTGTGATCTATGGGTATCTGCTCATGCCCCGTACATGGATTCATGGAAATTACCTAGTTTCAGCTACACTAATCCTTACAAAATAGGCAAGTGGCTAAAAAAGATTATTACAAAGATCCACAGACTGAAGATAATACTAAACTGATCGTACTAATTCTACTAATACCAGGAAAATGGCAAAGTTGACATTTCTTCTGCCCCTAATATAAATTCATCACCAGCCACATGACATGTATGACTTCAAAACAATGACTGTCAATCAAATGCTACCTAGCAGATCCTTAGAAAAAAATAAAAACACATAATCTGTTCCTTCAAGGTAAAGGTGACATTTTAACAGTAAGAAAAAAAAGTCACTGACTTTTGAACACAATAAAACAAGAAACTCAAGCTTTGAAGATAAAACTTTTAAAAAGGACATTTGAAATGTTATAAATTTGGAGACCTAAAATGACCTAAGTATAAAATTGCACCACTGCAAAACTAATCATATCTATACACTTAAAAATTCTGGGAGTACTTTCTAACTCGTGTTTAAAGATGCCAACTGAAGACTAACCAAAGACTACGAACCCATTTTTTAAAAATCTAAAAATGTAGCACCTTTCGATTAGTTCACAAGAACTGACTGACATCATGAAAGATGAAAATTTATTAGCTGGATTGTATTTTCGAATATAAGCAGTGAATAGGACTAAAAAAATGAGTATTATTATTTAGTAAGTTCAATTCACTTCTTCTGAGGTATCTTTTTCGGTTATGATAACCATTAAATCTAAAACTAAGTATCAAAATACACAGAACTTATAATCAGACCTTTGTGTTTCTATATCACAGGTTGTGAAAGCAAAAATTAAAAAAAAAAAAGAAGAATTTCAATCACACTGCTCTCACCAAAAGTAAAATTATGAATAAGAACAGTTTTCTATACCTTTCTAAAGGAAAATATCTTCAATATTTATTTTATTCTCATTTTCCACTTTTATGTATATTTATAACGTCCATAATAAATCAGCAAAGTAGTAAATATGTTTGTGATTGTAAAATAAAGATATATGTTATTGGGAATGCATGTTCAAAAAAGTTTAGAGATGACTACTTTAGGTATCAGGACGCAGTTGAAAGATTTTAAGCTAAAGGAGGAAAAGCAATCAGATTTGAATTTTAGAGACATAATCCTAGAGATAATAGGCAAGGAGAAAGTGTTGGGAGGTTAAGGTGACTTAAAAGAAATCTCTGATACTATGCTCATAGCAGTCCACTGCAGCTCACCCTATAAGCTCCCTGTATCTGTGGATCCCTGCACAAGGACACACAGGCATATTTTAACAGAGGTCTTCTGCAGAGCAAGGCCTCCTGTTCTGTGGCCTAACTCAGAGGCAACTGGGGCCAAAGAAAAAGGCAACATGGATCCACCAGAGGGGAACTGAGAACACGCTGGGCTGGCTGACTGTTGAAGTGCCTTATTATTTATCTGTAGGCTAGGGATCAGGCTAGAAAAAATTGAGCACCTCTCTTTTCTGATAGTCCCATTTATAATTTTTAAAAGACATAAAAGTTATTTTAAAAAATAATTTGAAGGGGCGCCTGGGTGGCTCAGTTGGTTAAGCAACTGCCTTTGGCTCAGGTCATGATCCTGGAGTCCCGGGATCGAGTCCCGCATCGGGCTCCCTGCTCGGCAGGGGGCCTGCTTCTCCCTCTGACCCTCCCCCCTCTCATGTGTTCTCTCTCTCTCATTCTCTCTGTCTCAAATAAATAAATAAAATCTTTAAAAAAAAATAATTTGAAAAATAGAGCAATTTATAAAATGAAGTAAACTACTGCCTCCCTATCTCCTACTACCCTACCAAGCCCACACATGATAATCACCGTCGACAGTGTGATGTATTTCCTTCCAGACCTTTTTCTATGCATATATATTTTTATATGTACATATATATGTATGCATGGGTATATACATTTGGATAGTATTTTTATATTCTTTGGCTTTATTAAAAATAGGCTCATATTCACACTGCTTTGAAATTTGTTTCTTTTACTTGGCAACATATGATAGCCATCACTTTAGGACAGTCCACGTGGATCTAGTTCCTGGTTGGCAGCTGCAGGGAATACAACCTATGACATAGGTTATTTAACCTTCCCTTTGCTGGGGTGCCTGGGCTGAGTGTCGGATGTTTGGTGGAGGCTCAGGTCATGATCTCAGGGTCATGGGACTGAGTCCCGCATTGGGCTCTGCACGTGGCAGGGAGTCTGCTTGAGACTCTCCCTTTTCCCCTTCTACACCTGTGCGCTCTCCCCCACCAAATAAATAAATCTTAAAAAAAATAAATAAATAACCATTCCAGGGACGCCTGGGTGGCTCAATTGGCTAAACGCCTGCCTTCGGCTCAGGTCGTGATCCCAGGGTTCTGGGATCGAGTCCCGCATCGGGCTCCTTGCTCAGGGAGGAGCCTGCTTCTCTTTCAGCCTGCCGCTCCCCCTGCTTGTGCTCTCTCTCTCTGACAAATAAATAAATAAAATCTTTTAAAAAATGTAGAATGAAATCTAGGTTTGTGTTATTAAAAAAAAATAACCATTCCTTTGTTGAGGGACATTAGCAGTGTCACTTTTACAACAGAGAAGCAATGAACATTCTTGTACATCTATCCTTGTACGTTTTGGGTAGGATGGATTCCTGGAAGTCAAGTTTTGGGGTGAAAGGGTAGGTACATTTCAAATGTTGATAGTTACTGCGGAATAGCTACACTGACTTAAACTTCAAACAATGAAGTTCAGCCATTCATTCTTACTAGATTTTTTTTTTTTTTTAATAGATTCCTAGGTTTAGGGAAAGACCTTAGAAAATGAGCCCTTCAATTTGTATACGAGAAAATGACAGTTCAGAGAGAGTAAGGTTTGGGTCCAAGATCCCAAACCCCTGATGAGATCACTGAGCAGTAGGAGTTCCATGAGTGGTGGTTACTGCTGAAAGCCAGGACGGTAACTTGAATTAAGTGACTTCAAATATAAACATGTGTTCCATCAGAGCTACTAACAAGTAGGAAAGGGGACTGTCATCTCCTTTTCCTTGCCTACCCTTGGCAAGAAAAGGAAAAAAGACAGTAAATTCCTAAAAGATACAATAGCAAGAGGGAGCAGAGAAGGAGGATTTTATTTTTTTTTAAGATTTTATTTATTTATTTGAGAGAGAGAATGAGAGAGAGAGAGCATGAGAGGGAGGAGGGTCAGAGGGAGAAGCAGACTCCCTGCCAAGCAGGGAGCCCGATGCGGGACTTGATCCCGGGACTCCAGGATCATGACCTGAGCCGAAGGCAGTCGCTTAACCAACTGAGCCACCCAGGCGCCCGAGAAGGAGGATTCTCAAACTTAGGTGGAGTAACGGGCAATGAGAGCGAAGGTATCGTAAGTTCAGCTGCATGAAGTGAGCGAGTGTGGTGGAAAAGACTCTGACATGGGATGACCTTAGCGGAAAACCTTCCACAGCCTCAGTGGGTTGTATGAAAACTTTCTTGGTTCTAAATATCTCCATGTGGCATCCAAAATGAATGCCAGTACTGAAACCAAATTCTGAAGAGAAATATCAGAAAAGAACTAACATCCCACAATGAAGAAACATCTTCAAAGAAGATGTTGTTATAAAAATACCACAAAAGTACTTTCCAACAAATTCCAGACCTAAAAGTAAAGCTTTAAAATGAAGCTCCAAGCACAGAAGCTTTGAATCCTTTGCTCTGTGCCTGAAGAGGCCCATTTAAAGGAAGGTACTTCTGACCAGATAACACTGTCGTTATTCGATCAGACCTACAGGGCATAACAATGAGAAAAAAAGATGGCAACTGTATCCTTTGAAATTAGAATGGTCTAGAACAGACATGAGCATGCTTTTTCTATAAAGGGCCAGAGAGCCCTTTGCAGGCCATATGGTCTCTGTTGCAATTATTCAACCCTAATGTTGTAGTGCAAAAAGATACCCATAAACAAAATATAACCAAATAAGCATGGTTGTGTTCCAATACAACTTAATGGATACTGAAATTTGAATTTCATATAAGTTTCATGAAAGATTATTTTTGTTTTGATTTTTTTCCATCAGTTAAAAATACAAAAACCATGCTTAGCTCATAGGCTATACATAAATAGGCAGTGGGCTAGATTAGCTTGTGGGCCATAATTTGCCAACCTCTAGTACAGAGCACTTAATTCTCAACTGAACTGAATTTGAATGTTGGTAGAAAGATGGAAATATCTGAGCCCCGTCCCTAAGAAAGTAAAGTTAGAAGATAGAAAGGTAGAAACATGTTGTTCTTAAAGAGTTTCAGATATTTACCTTAAATCTCTTCTCTTGCTGAATTCCTCTGGTGGGATTGTCCAGGGCAGACCTTGAGGGAGACAGTCTAGAACTTCCGAAGAGAAATCAGAGAAATCCACACCATACTCTGTTAGTATTCCTTCTGTTTCAGGCTCAATTTCACCAGCCTGCCCAAGACTCTTAGCCAGCTGCCTGTGAACAGGACAGAGAGGAACAAGCATGTTAGTGAATAAATGGATCATAGGCATCCGTTTCCTCTCTAAAAGTGAGGGTAATAGGAAAATCTTCAAAACCTCCTGCCATTTCCCCAGCAAGAACACCATCACCAATGAATGGGGGGCCAAGTAGAAGAAACAAGGATACTCTTGCCCTGTTAAATCCCTAACTACAGTATAATTTTAACTTTCTTCAGGAATTCTGATGTGGGCAGTTGGGCCAGATGGCCTTTCTTGGGCTTCTTGCAATTGTTTTTCATGAAAAGTCAAACTGATATTGTTAAAAGCTTTTGTCAATTCCTTCTCTTGCAAACACCTTTAGAGACAATTCTGATTAGCCCAGTTTGCTGTTAAATCGTTAGTTTCACAGCACCTATACCTTGAGTCATGCTCACTGGATTAGATCTGATACTTACATTTTTTCACAATTCTAATTACCTTAATATTTTATCTGAACACACTACTAATATATTTTCACTGTAAGAAGTTAGAAAATAGGGGCGCCTGGGTGGCTCAGTTGTTAAGCGTCTGCCTTCGGCTCAGGTCATGATCCCAGGGTCCTGGAATTGAGCCCCGCATCGGGCTCCCTGCTCAGCGGGAAGCCTGCTTCTCCCTTCCCCACTCCCCCTGCCTGTGTTCCCTCTCTCGTTGTGTCTCTGTCAAATAAATAGAATCTTAAAAAAAAAAAAAAAAAAAAGAAGTTAGAAAATACAGAAATGCATCAAGAAGAAAATTAAAATTATCTGCTATCTGGTCACTCAGTAAACTACCATTCACTTTTTGGGGTGTTGGTCCATTAAAAGTAAGATTGCATTTAATGGAATAGTTCTGATGCTATGAGTAGGGTTCCACCTTTTGGAAGGCAAATATTACTCTTCATCTGTATATTTATAGATCTATAAATATACCAAAATTGATAGCGCTCAATTCTCATTTAGTACTGGCATGCCACATTCAGGCCGTAAGTCTAAGTTATGTGTTGAATACAGAGTCAATAGGAAATATGATACTCTTCCTGCAAGGGGTTTAGCTCTGGCATTAGGGCTTTCTCTGTTACCATTCAGTTTCTTTGAAGAAGATTGTCTCCTACGTAAGGGTAGATGCCTGGCGGCCAGAGTTCTTAGGTACACAATGGTAGAGGGATACTGGGGATGTGGTTGCCTCATATGCAGAATTTTAACAAATTCCCATCTTCAGCCTTGCTATTGGACCAAGGCAGTGATGGCAACAGGGCTGGCCCCAGCTCTCACATGCCAGCCAAGAGAAACCAGCCAATAGCTGACACATACACCGGCCTACCTGCATAAGTTCCATAGCCTGTGGGTTGCCTGTGGGCTCCACACATACAACATGGGCTCAGACCAGTGTCATTTCCCCAGAAAGCATATCAAAAGCCAAAAGCAGCAAAAATATGAGGGGAAAAAATACAGAAAGCTATCAGGAAGATCTATAAATATTTGGAAATTTAACAACCAGTGGGCTAAATGAGAAAAAGAGAATCAGAAAGTATTTCGAACTGAATAAAACACAATATATCAATATTTATGAGAAGCAGCTAAAGCATTGCTTTGAGGGAAATTCTGCTTTAAATAAATGTAATGCTCATATTAGAAAAGAAGAAATGTCTCAAATTCGTGATCTAAAGCTTCTATCTTAAAAAATTGAAAAAAGAAAAGCAAATTAGATCCCGGGTAAGCAGAAGGAAGAAAAAAATAAGTAAGAATCAAGGGACGTGTATCATATGATCTCACTGATATGAGGAATTTTTAATCTCAGGAAACAAACAGGGTTGCTGGAGTGCTGGGGGGTGGGAGGGATGGGGTGGCTGGGTGATAGACATTGGGGAGGGTATGTGCTATGGTGAGCGCTGTGAATTGTGTAAGACTGATGAATCACAGACCTGTACCTCTGAAACAAATAATACATTATATGTTAAAAAAAAAGAAGAAGAAGAAAATAGTAGGAAGAGAAAAACGAAGGGGGGGAAATCGGAGGGGGAGACAAACCATGAGAGGCTATGGACTCTGAGAAACAAACTGAGGGTTTGAGAGAGGAGACGGGTGGAAGGATGGGTTAGCCTGGTGATGGGTATTAAAGAGGGCACGTATTGAATGGAGCACTGGGTGTTATATGCAAACAATGAATCATGGAACACTACATCAAAAAAATTAAAAAATAGGAAAAAAAAAGAATCAAGGGACAGAAAATGAACAATAAAGAAAACCAATAAAATCAAAAGCTGATTCTTTGAAAAGAGAATAAAATAGAGAAGTTTCTAGTGAGGCTAATCAAGAAAAATAAGGAAAGACCCAAATTACCAATATCAGGAATGAGAGAGGAAACATCATTATAGATCCTACAAGCATTAAAAGGATAATAAGGGAATTATAAATGACTTTAATTCAACATCTTGGATGAAATGGATAAATTCCCTGAAAGACACAAACTGCCTAAGATTATTCAAGCCAAACCCAATACCTAAATATTCCTGTATCTATTTAAAACACTGAATTCATAGTTTAAAAACCTTCCCACAAAGAAAACTCCAGGCCCAGGCAGTTTCACTGGTAAATGCTACCAAGTATTTAAGAAAAGAATTAATACCAATTATATACAAACTCTTTCAGAATATAGAAGATGGAACACTTTCCAACTAATCTTATGAAGCCAGCGTTACCTTGATACCAAAATCAGACAAAGGATTCATGAGATCAATATTCCTCATGAACACATTCTTAAAATTCTTATGAAATATTAACACATAGAATTCACCCTTGAACAATATGGGGTTGAACTGTGTGGGTCCACTTATATGCAGATTTTTAAAAATACAGTACAGTAATATAAATGTATTTCCCTTCCTTATGATTTTCTTAATAACATTTTCTTTTCTCTAGCTTACTTTGTTGTAGGAATAGAGTATATAATACACATAACATACAAAAGGTCAACTGTATATAAAAAGGATAATACATCATGACCAAGTAAAGATTTAAAGATCTGTCCAACATTCAAAAACCAATCAATATAATTCATTGTATTAGCGAACGATGAGAAAAACATTCAATCATTTTGACAGATGCAGAAAACCATTGGACAAATTCAACATCCATTCATGATCAAAACTCTCAACAAATGAGTAATGAACAGGGAACCCTCAGCTTGATTAGTGGCACCCAGGAAAACCCTACAGCTAATACCAAAACTTAATGGTGAAACACCAAGTGCTTTTCTCCAGACCAGGAAGAAGACAAGGGTGTTAACTCTCACCAATGCTATTAAACATGGGATTGGTGAACGCCATAAAGCAACTAAAAAACTAACTAAGAGTTAGTTTCTTTTTTTTTTTTTATAGGAGAGATTTATTTGAAGAAATATTATAACATCTAAAAACTACATAAAGTCTTAATTTCCACTCATACAGTGGTAGATTTGATATAACATATAATAAAAAAACTTTTAAAATCCAGAATGCACAGTCATTAGTTGATAAGCAAACCTCACAGAGCAGCTTCATGTCAGCCAAGGCCACAAACACCGCAAATGACACATTTGAACTGACAGATTGACATGTTAAAAATACAACATTAGTGCATGTTGGGGATCCCTGGTGCCAGAAACAAGGGCGACGGGAGGGCAAAACGAGTCTTTAGTAGTTTCCTCCTCTTTGATTTTAACTGAGGCACTCTCTCAAGCTTTGGCTAACATACAGCGCTTGATCTCCAAGCCAACGGCTTTGGCCAGGGCGGTGGCACAGCATTCCCCACCTGTCGGTGCTTATCTAGGATGTTGCCAAACATCCTAGGGTAGGGGTCCGGGAAGCCCTGGGAGCGGGCACACTCCCGCACACTCACAACGGGTGCTGCTCAGGGAGCAGGACGCGGCCCTGCTTGCCCATGGGCTCAGGGCTGGTGACAGTGGTGGTGAGGAAGCCATCCCACTCCAGCCATCCGTAGAGGCCGGCCCAGTGGTTGTGCCAGTTTCCAGTGTGGGGCAAGCACCAGGGGACGAGCATGTTGAAGTGTCTAGCTGCAGAGTCACAGGCTTTGCCCGCTTCCACCCAGGAGCAGACCCCGCGGAGGGCCCCACTGGGCATATGAAAACAGAAGACTTCTACATTGCATGTCAGTGGGCCAAAGGACTACAACTTCCATTACAGAAGTGACTAGCCTCCTACATAATGCCAGGCGTTTATAGAACACTCCTCTCCCTCTATGAAAACCAGTCGCCAGCACGCTATACAGGACTTAGACTCGCCTCAACTCATGACTTGGACCATGGAGAGAATGCTACACGAAGAGGCGCTCAGGATTCATTCGTGGCAGCTAGAGTGGCTTCTAGTGGTGGCAGTGGTGGCAACAGGGTCCGGTGGCAATGCTGATCTGTAAGAGCAGTGTACAAGCCCTTGGCATTGTGGCCAAACTAATCCTGATAAAAGATGAGGGCTGGATTTCTTGTCCTTGCTTCTCCAGATCTGCCTTGGTTCTCGCCTACAACTTTTAAACATTCAAGACTCTTACTGTTTCTGTGAGCCCTTCAATATCCTTCTGATATACTCCTTTTCCAACCAGGGTTAGTTTCTTTTATTTGCAATCAAGAAGCTATACACAGGGGGCTCCTGGCCGGCTCAGCTGGTAGGGGATGCAACTCTTGATTTCAGGGTTGTGAGTTTAAGCCCCATGTTGGGTGCAGAGCTTACTTTAAAAAAAAAAAAAAAAAAAAAAAAAAAAGTCTAGACAGTTTAAAGACTCAAGTCTCATTAATTTTCAAAATGATCATTAATTTTTGAAATGACTACATTATTACCTGTGTTCACTAGGATGAAGTTTCCACTGAGGATTTAAGGAACCTGTTGTTACTGCCTCTGAAGTCTAAAGGACATTTTGGAAATAAATGGGACCTGAGTTACTTCCAACCCATCTATTATCCTCATAGCTTCCTGAGGTTCTGTTTCCTACATTCATCTCCTAATACTTA